TGAAAGAGTTGAAGATTGTGTATTAAAATTAAGTTGAGTTTGAATTTGTCTACCTAATCCGCTTGAAGATGTATCCGGCAACTGCATTATTTGGGGGTGCTTCTTCTCCACATGTCATCGCATCATTGAAGTCCCATTCTCAGCGCCAATAATGGTTCCACAGAAATTACATATCCCACACGATTCTTTCCCCTCCCCATTTGTCTTTGGCCGTTTTGATTTGGTGAAGTGTCACCATACATCAGACACGACCCTCTTTAATGATCGGAGGGGTTGGGCTATGCCCGTGCCTGTTGACTCGCAGCTCGCATGTATTTGGCTACACCTCGTCTCGACCGAATGTGGTTGTGGAATTACAGCTGCTTCCTCTGAAGGAAATGGTGAAAATGGATTGAACCCTTCCATTTCTTCTGTAGATGGAATGTAAAACTCATTTGGGGAATCCATTATAAATTTATGATAAAATAATAAATAATTAAAATGAAAAGAAATTAAATAACAATATGAAATTATGATGATATTGAAAAATAGAAAAAAATTGAATAACATGAATAAATTATAAATATAAATATAAATTGAATAAGAATTTGACTGGAGATTTGGAGTAGAGAGATTGAGAGATTGATTGGTGTGGAAAAAATGAAAGATTTTAGGGTTATTTATAGTATAGTTTTTTTTTTTTTTTTGGAGGGGGGGGGGGGGGGAATGAAAAAAAAAGTTATAATTTTTATTATAAACGTTGGCAGCAGCCAACGGTTAGTAAATTTATTTTTTTTTTTTTTTTATAAATTCTGTAAAAAAAATTTTAACCCTTGTAATTTTGTTAATTTTAAAATTTATAGGGGGTTTATGTAATTATACAGGGTACTAAACTAAAAAAATCCAAAAAAATTAGGCCTAGGCCTGCGCCTGGAGGAGGGCCCTCCTCCTTAGGCTTGGTCCCGTTTTGGGACCAGGCCTCCTAGACCGATCCTCTCAAGAACCGAGTTTTTGGGCTGGGTTCTTGGACCCATTCCCAAAGTCCACCTCTACCTATAAGCCTAGTTAGTTAATACGGGTACGGCAAAAAAACGGTACGAGGTTATACGGGTATAATACGGTAAATGATAAAAAATACGTTTATAAAAATTCGGCCATAAAATTCGGATAAGGGAAAAATACGGTACGGGTATATACGGGTTTAATACGGTGGCATTGTCAATAATAAGTTTTGAAAAATACGGCATATCAATCTTAGTTTTAACACTTTTATGGACTATCTGGTTAAATCAACATAACATTTCAAATACAAAGTATTCAATTTGACTGTATTTACAAGACATAAAAGAGAGTAGAGAACATCATTAAATACCTGATCAAATGCAAAGTATTTAATTAACCAATAACACAAATACATAATAAAGAATTTTTAATTAAAAATTCCTATAAAATATAAATTAACCAAGTTTTTAAATTAAGTATGAAGGGTCAATATAATTTTATTCATTTATCAAGTTTTTGAATTCTACCAAAACGCATGCTGAGTGAGGGTTTAATTAAAAGGAATAAAAAATTCCTATTTTTCTGTATTGAAATTTGACTATTTACAACCTGATACTCTGATAGAAAATGATACGACACTGTATCTATTAGTAATAATCAATAATCAATATTCAATTATTTCATTTTTTTACTCTCTTTCTCCTTTTCCTAATTTAGTTAAAGATTAGTTTCTCTTTCTCTTTCACTCTCCCCCACACTGTTTCTCTTCCGATATATTCAAAAACGTTTTTTTCTCTCTAAACAAACACTCACACTTCGCACACTCTCTGAAACTCTCATTCTCTAAAACGAAACACACACTTCATACTTCTCTTCCTCTCCATGAAGAACTCACGCTGAACCAAAACGATACAAGTGTAAAGTGTGTACCTTTGAAGTCCCGAACTTGAAGTTGAAGCCTAGAAGAAGAGAATAAGAGATGAAGAAAGTTGAAAACATGAAGAACAGAGGAAGAAAAGCTGAAGAAGAACTGAACTGAGGAAGAAGAACTGCTGCTGAACTGCCGAAGATTTGAAGAAAAACGACTGAAACTGAACCAGTGAAGTGTGAACCAGATCTGTTTTTGTTTTAATTTTTTGTATAAACCCACCAAAACGACGTCGTTTTGGGGGTGTGAGGTTATATATTTTTTTTTTCAATAATTCGCGAATTATTCGTGAATAATTCGTGAATTATACGCGAATTATACGGTACACCTTACTATACGCGAATTATACAGCAGATTTTACAAAATTCGGATACGCGAGTATTATACGCGAATTATATGGCTGTCTGTATAATTCACGTATAATACGCGTTTTTACTAACAAGGCCTATAAGCCCCTATAAGTTTAAAAGAAAGCAAATACACCCTGCAAATTTTATTATTAATTATTTTTTTCTCTCTTCCCATCACTTCCATCTTTCCCCTTTTTTCTCTTTCCCCATCAGGACATCACTGTCCATCATTTTCTTTTTTCTCCTTTTTTTTCTCTCTCTCTCTCCCCATCACTCCCCGTCACTTTCTTCTTTCTTCTAACACATTCGCGTCTCTCTACTGTAATTTTTCTCTCCTCTTTTCTTTCTTCTAATCTTCTTCCTTACTATTTCTCTTGTCTCCAATTCTCTTTCTTCTTGCTACCCCTCCCCTTACTTCTTCTTCTTTACACTATAGATTTTAGAGTAAGTGAAGAAGAATAGAAGATGAAAATGGAATATGCAATTTGGTTTTTTTATTCAAATGAAATGGAGAATGAAACGGTACTACAAATTGGTTTAGGAATATGAATTTTTTTAGGATCAGATACCCAAAAATAGAGAACCGTTTTAAGCCCTAAGTCGGTTGGACCGACGGTTTTGTACTGTTCCGCCAATCTATTGCCGGTCCAAAACGAGTTTAATGATATTTCTGATTTTTATGTTAACCCAGACAGGAGTAAAGGTCGGCTTCCAGTAGAAACGGTCGCACCGATCGGTCCGGTCCGATTTTAAAACAAAGCTTTTGGTTAGGTACATACATACATTATTGAAATAATTTATTGGGTTGGCTCGAAATCCTTTTCCATTTATCAGGAGAGAAACTCGTTTCGTTGTGTGCACTAACTGGTTTAAATTCGTCAGCTAGACAATACTGGTCCACATTTTAATGAGTTTTAAATTCTAGTAACAGTAATTAATTAAAGATTTTTTTTTTTTTTTTTTAAATGATCTCTAAAGGCTAATTCATTTTTAATATATTATTGTTGAATAAGTTAATTTTCTTTTTTCTTTTTTCAATTCACTTTCATGATAATTAATACAGTATTCCAATATGAAAAAGATAATATTTTTATTTTCGGTAATCGGAGTATCTAGGTCAACTTGCACGTACTTCAATTAATCATTTAGAGCTATGAAGTTAACGACTAAATAACCTTTAAGTAGTCATTTCTATTAACAATTAAAGAGAATCGAATTCAAGTTCTTTTGAGTAATACACCTAAAAATCTTAACTGATCGTTTGATCACATAAGGGTTGGTTAAAAAAAAAAAAATGAAAATATTTTTCAAGTAAAGATTAATAAGATCTATCCTCACCCAGCCTTATTTAACCCCATGATCTCACTAACGGGTTAGATCGTAGAAATTTTTGACGTGGGTCAAAAAAAAAAGTTCAACATTTTTTTTTTTTTTTTGGGAATTTTTTTTGGATAAATATGATGTTTAAGTTGTTTTGGGGCAAAGGGTAGTGATGGATAGGACTCAACATTGACCATTTCATTTCTTTTTTATGAACTTTGAATGTTGTAAAAAGTCTACAATCTTCCCATGTTTTTTGAGAAGTTAAAAAGGTATAAGAATGATATCATTTGATTTAACAAGTACATATCCATTTTATAGTGATTTTAGGTTTATTCCATATGATTCTTTTAGTAGAATTAATGAAAAAAGTAAAGCTTTTAGTAGAATTAATATGATTTGATTTAGCATATGGAATTTCAGTATAGAATAAGACTCAATTAATACAGTACATTTAGTGCAATTCTAAAGTATCACTCTTTGTTGTTCTTTAGGAGTTAAAAAGGGTATTAAATCAAATGAATTTATGTTTGCCTCAAGTCCGAAAGGATCAAATCTGAAAATTAATTCATGCCATAAAGAAATATTAAGTAATTTTGATAATTTCCACCATTTTCAATTTACTAGTAGAATTATGATTTTTTATTGATCTAAATTTCATTTAATTTTTTGATAACTATAAATATAAAGTTTTGGAATTAAAATATAGAGGATGAAGAATAAATCTTTTATTTTTATTTTTATTTTTTTACAGTTGTATTCTCACCTAAATGGAAGATGGGGGCTAAAATAAAAAATAGTGGGGCTAAAACCCATTTCCCCTTCTTTTAATTCAGTTCTTGGCCCAATTTTTCAACATCATTCTATTCATAGTGGGACATGTATAAATGTTATGTATTAAAGTGGATAATATAATAAACTACAAATTTTTCATGTATAGAATAATTTGTACGATTAATTTATATATGTAATATTATTCACAATATAATTATTGAATAGTATTATATATTTATGTGTTCTAGAAATAAAAGTAATTAATTAAGCTATATTATAAATATAATATTATTCCTAATTACTTGAAATCTGTGTATTATTTCTCCTCGAGAAAAAAAAAAAAAAAAAAAAAATTGATTTCTCTCCATCTGCCTTCTTCCACCAAGGTGTGTGATGTATCAACAAGATGAACAAAATTCTAATAATCTCCGCACTAATTGTAAAGATGTCAAGAATTATGGAGAATTCTTCTCTTAGTTTTAATATATAAAAAAAAAGGGACCTTTTCCAAGATCTTAACATATTTATTATTCAAATGATTGCCTCTGAATGTGATATTTTTCAGAAGTTGATTTCACAATTCCTTGACATCTGAAACTCATATAAAATACCTAATTTTCTACTGCAATTTTACAAGTTAACCATAAATCAACTGCATATATGCAACAAGGAAAAGATCAACCAGCAAGAATCTTCACATAACCTTAGAAGAACTTTAAACACCAATATGTGGGACTATTAAATTTATCACAACGTTTTTTACACATCAAAACCGATAAATTAAAAGTATGCACGATAAAACAAAGTTTATACCTTCAGGCTTCAGTGTCCAGAAGACGACAGTCTCATACATGAAAGAACCACAAAAATGTAGCTACTTTAGTGTATGTTTACAACTGTGTCTGTTAGTAATGTTGAAAGAACGCGATGCTATTCATCGTCATCGTCATCGTCACCATGCTCTTGCCCACGTGTGGCATTCCCATTGCCACCAGAGGCAAGTTCTGCTTCGATGGACTTGGAAGGTATCCTCTCATAAACTCTGGACCCAGAAGGGAGAAGCTTATAGTGCCTGAAAGTAAGAATCTGGCTAAGCTTCTCATAATCCCACCTCTGCTGAATATAGACTATAACTGCAAGAAAAACTGCAGTCACAGGTATGGCGATATCCCCAAACTTGGAGTAAAAATCCAAACTGGGATTCACAAACTCATTTTTCTCAGCAAAGTAAGGATTCGGAATAGGAGATCGTATGTAATCATATACATGAGGGAGAAGCCTGACTACTGTGATTCCAATGAAATATAGTTTCCTTAGTGGCTTACAATCTATCTGCCACAAAAGATTACCAATAACTTGAGGGAGCAAGAAAAAATCTTGAACAAGACCCACATACTCCTCCAGTTCAGTTTCCCACTCTGGGCGTGTGTGGGAACTACCTCTCGAATATCTAAAATTCTCAGTTTTCTCACGAGTTTTCACAGAATGAATAATCAGAATAAGTATATACCCAATCACATGTATAGTCGAGGTAGTAAGAAGCACTGGCTTATCACTAGGGACACGGTGAGGTTCAAGAGGGGCCCGTGAAAGTAATCTGATACGAGATCTCCACACCTTTTGAATGAGCCTTAGAGTTAGTAGAAATGATGCCATTACAAGGATCTTTACTGTGTAATCAATCACTTGGAACCACTGACTCTTCTCAAGGTTGTAAGACTCCATTTCATAAGAAGATTGAGGAGCCGGTTTCTTAAAGAGAGCTTCTGCTCCTGTGATCAGAGGAAGACTATAGCCAAGAGCTTGGACGCCTAGCATGACAAGGGACATGAATGGAACAGAATCCAAATTATGCTTGATGTAAAACAATTGACTAAAAATGCAAGCGATTGCAAATGAGAGTGTCAAAATCCGGAGAATTCCCTCAACCCCCCTGTGAGAGAGAATGTCTTCCCTCTGCTTCCTGTATATAATAGGAAGAGTTTGTAGCTTAATTGTGCTAAAATGGAGGGGGTCATCATCATTCCTTTGGCTGGCAATGGCAATGGTAGCAGTTGGATTGACCAACCACCGAGATGTAGTAGGTGGGTATGACACCACCACTTCAATTAAACAATCCAACCCAGATTCAAGATCCATACTCTCAAATAGGATGTTCCAGGAGGCTCGGACATCCCTGCAACCAGCGAGATACATCTTCCCAACATGTGGATCATAAAGACCCTCCAAAAAGATCGCAGAGAAATTGCTATAAGATATTCCAATAATTGAGAGTTGAGCTGATACATTCAAAAGGAGCTGCTTTTCAGTATATTCTGCTTTCGTGTGGTAAGGAGTCTCCTCGTCCTTGGTAAAATTACTCAAAGACCAGTAGCGCCCAAACAAGGGGCCAAGTGAGAGAATCTCCATCTGGATTTCAATTCTCTGGCGATGAGTTTTGGGAAGTGGATCTGGAACTGCAGAAATGTGGAGAGTCAGATCTTCTGAAAGAAGAGAAAGACTAGATAAAAACGCCTCTGAGTCTTCCAATTTGGGGAAGTGAAGCAAGGATTTCTTGATGACTGTTCGAAAACTGAAAGGCTCATTCTTTTCGAGGACAATAGCAGCTGCATCTATTTTTGAGTAACTATAATGAGGAGTGGCAGTTCTGAAATAATTCCACAACTCTGTCGGCCCAACAAGCTTTTCAAAAGATAAAGGGAAATATGATGTGCTACTATTACTGCTGGAAAAACTGCCAACGATTATGCTTCGTTGCCTAATGGAAAATGACATAGGAATGTACAAACAGATTCNGGATTGAATAAAGAAATGAATCTGTCTTCCAATGGTGGCGTTGGTCAAAGTGGGTCGCTTCATTAAAAAAAACCGGCTATAGCAACCGGTAGCCTGTCCGGCTGTCCCCAACCTTGCAAGTTGCAACCATCGATTAACAGTTGGGCTACTTCTATTAATTACATACATAACCCACCGACTATCCTTTTCTCTTTTAATGTCATTTATTCCTATATTTTAAAAACAAAATCCTGAAATTTAATAACCCCAGTAAATAGTGAGTGTGAAAGTGCACAGTTAGGTAGGCAGGGAGCTTTTGTACAATAAGATGGTCGTTGAGAATACAATTTTCAACGCATTAATTAATCCTTTATCTACTTATTTCATAGTTTCTTTATTTATAATTTAAATTCTTCAATTTTTACCCTATTATAAAAAGAGTTAATGACATATTCCCACTCAAATAATGGTTTATTGACACTTTTTCACCCACAGACTTTTGAAATATCACTTTATTACCTAAGTTTCTATTCTGACGGCGAATATAAAACAAACTCGATCCAGGTTGTTAGGACTTTTGAAAAAAGGGAGGCTGATGAGTCTTTTGGTAGTGAAATATTAGATTTTTGTGGTTGGGATAGATAAGAATTTGACTTGGGAGGGGTGGTCATACAAACCCTAATTGCTCGATTGTTAGGGATTGACGAGGTCGACAAGAGTAAAATTTGAGGGGATTTGGTAAGTGATGACCGGAAAAGAGAATGGTGGTGGTGTTGAATTACTACGATGCTAGAATCGAAAACGAAATATAAATTCGGATAGTAAAGTAGTATTCTAAAAATTGATGGGTGGGAAAGTGTCATTAAACTACTATTTGGGTGGAAAAAAGTCAAATTTACTCTTATAAAAACAAAGTCTTTGGTACACCACATCTTGGTACGAAAACCAGAAAGTAAAAGTGGGTTAGACCGTTAAGAGTGTGAATCCAATTATAGATGGGAATCTGTAGTCGCCAAACTATAATTTCAGTTGGACTCATTTTCCCTACAATAAATTCAAGTTAAAATGATTCACATTCGCATATATTAAAAGCTTCATGTTAAAACGTGTCTTCTACCATCAAATTCGGTATTAATGGGGTATCACATTCTATAAAATCTTCAACGCTTGTTTGTTCATTTTGTGAGTTCTAGAAGCTCAATTCAAAGAAAAAGAAAGAGTTGTGATCTCATAGCTTTCTTATAGTGACCCATTGTCACAATCCTATAAATAAATTATGGACAAAAATATTACATTTACGTCCAGCAGAGAATCAAAATCTGGAATTGTAGATTTGATCATTTGTAATCCCTTTGGTTTGTCTTTACCGTTAAACTACCTATGAGTGGTATAAATAATATTGTTTGAAAATAGTTACGAAGAGATTATTTAATACGTTTATGAGAAATAAAAAAAAAAAAATTACAAATCATGGAATAAAGTCGTGTATAATACATGATAGAAGACGACCTAAATCTAACAAATTAAATATATATATAAAAAAAAAAGAAGAAATAATGGGTGTCCACGAAGATTAAGGCAGCTGATGTAATGCAGTTGGGAAGCCAAAGAATTAATTAATGTTATCATTGACTTTAATGTCCTTACTACTGAGCTGTAAACTTGATATTTTAACTTAACTTAATCAATTTTGAATTTTATGGGTCCTGTTAATATCATAATTTATTGGGTTGTTGCCTATTTTCCTTGGAATTTTATTTATATATAATTGTTTAGATTGTGATATTTTTTAGAGGTGGGCAAAAGTTGGGCCCAACGGTCCTAGGCCGAGGCCCAACTAGGACCAATCCTGGCCTATCACTTTTCTGAAGGCTCGAACGAGTCCCAGCCTAGGCCAGGTGTGTTTAGAACCAGTCCTATGGACTTGAAAATCAATTTGCCCCTTAATTGTAAAATAATTTTTTAACCCCTAAATTTATTACTTATTTCATATATTATAGTTATTTGTTAGNTATTGACAAATTGGTTTTAAAAAGACAACAAAAAAACGTGGGGGTCCAACTGTCATTTTCTAGACTTCCGCCACCTTGATTTACTTGTCATAGATGATATGATCAACTTTCAAGTCTTTCGTTTTCATGGTGGGGGATTTTCAATTAGTCAAACATCAAACAAAATCTTAGATGAGTTAAAAAAATCCAATCCTAATGTTCGGTGTAAAAAATCCCTCTAAAGTTTGAAAAATAACAAAATCACTGATTGCGGTTAGTGGATCATCAGAATATACACTATTATGAATTTATAAACTTATATTGAATTACTCTTATACCGTTTATTTTAACACTTGGAATTTAACACTAAAAGATATTTGTCATTTAATCAAACCTTAAGGAGATTAATATTAAGATATAAAATTTAACAGTAAAAGATTAATGTTGGTTAGTAGTTCGATAGAAACTCTTGGGTATATTATTCAAGAGGTCTTCAATTTGAGTCTCTTGTCTGTTGATAATAGGGATTTGCAGTTCTAGGTACCCTGCATTTTTTGAAAGAACCGGAATCAACGGTTCCTTGAAATTTGGAACCGAAACCGAAACCTGTAACAACGGTTCCGGTTCCAATTCTAGGTACCTTGTAAAATTCATAACCCCCCAAAAGTTTTTTAAATGGCAAAAAAATCCTTAAAAACTTACAAATAGCCCCCCACCTGAAACTTGTTAACAAAAATAAAATTACAAATTAATAAATTCAAAATTACAAACCCCATTACTTTGTAAAGATAGATTCTCAAAAGTCAAACCAACTTACCAGATTCTCAAAAGTCAAACCAACTTACTTTAAATGTTATAAAATATAAATATAAATATTCACATTATTTTTTCTACAAAAAGCTTTTATTAACCCCCTACTCTTTAATTTTATTTTATATTATTCTTGATTCCTGGTTCCACTTCCTAACTATAAGAACCGGAATTGGAACCGGAACCGCACAGTAACGGTTCCAAAAATTTAGAACCAGAACCTACCCGTTGATGGTCGGTTCTGGGTAGGAATCAGAACCAAACCTTGGGTACTTGTCGGTTCTGGTTCCAATCGGTTCTTTTGAATACCCTTAATTGATAATAGGGGTATGCACAAGAGCTCTTTCAGTCTCAGGATCCTAATGGATTAGTTGATGTACATGTAAGCTTATCCGAATATCACTGGTCATAAAAAAAAAAAAAAAATAATAATATAATTGTTTTTTTGGTCATTCATGGTGGGCTTTTTTAATTAATCTAAAATCAAAAAATATATTTCGAAGAAAGTTCAATTACACTCAAATCAAGGAAAAGGACTAGCAAGTGAAATGGTGAATAAATTAATCCAAATTGGCTTTACAGTCAAATTATATAACAAATTTTTTGGAGATGATCTCGGAGAACAAGAGATTCAAATCCAATTAAGTTATTGACTTTTTAATTAATTGCGTATAATTTAATCATCCTCTTTATCTTCTAGAAAAACAGAGATAATCTAAAAGAGATTTTTATAGCTTAACTCCAAAAATCTTGTTGCGTATAAACGGGGTTTGGATGTTGGTCAAAAACATCAACGGTTAAATTCATAATATAAGAAAGTCAAAGGTTAGTTAGGATTTAATTGGTTAATTAATTGCTTCTAGAAGGAAGGAAGGAAGTTGGACTGTTGGGAGTGAAAGCTACAGCTTACTCATGAAAACCCGGAAGAAAAAGGGAAGCAAATACTTAGGCAAAATTCAATTTCTTGGTACTTGATTGTCCTTTTCAATTAAAGAAATTACTTAATTTAAATGTCTTTTTCCTTTTCTTTTTCTTTCTTCTAAGAAATTTTGCTTATTTTACCCTAAACTAATAAGTGTAAAACTCTAATTGGGTGAGATTTTTTAAGTTTCTATGAAAGGGTTATCCACTTTTTTTTTTTTNGGAGGGAGGAGAGGGTGAAGAAGATGAGGGGGGCGGCGGAGGAAGAGGACAGGAGGGAAGTAGAGGACGTGGAAGAAGTAGAGGAGGTGGCGGAGGAGGCGGCGGCGGTGGAGGAGAGGAGAGAAGTGGTAGGGTCAAGGGAGTTGTGAAGGTGAAGGAGATTTGAGAGCATTAGCATGAAGGCTTCGTCCATGGTGCCTTTTGATTTGAAACAAAATGAACTCTTTCTATGATTTCAGGGTTAGGATTTAGTGGAAAGTGGTTGTTGCGGTGGCCGGCGAGGCATCACCGCGGGTCATGATTCAAATTTTTTTATAAAAGAGAATGAAGAACGAAAGGAATCCGATTAATATATTGAGAGAAGGCGGAGGACGCTGAAGTAATTTTTCAATGTTTAATGATTAAAAATTAGGGCGAACGACATGTTCCCATCCACCCACCTAAAGTTTGCCCAATGACAATTTCCCACCCGAAAACTTTCAAAATGACAGTTTCTCATTCACGGATAAAATCTGTAAGTAAAGTCTGTATGAATAGGGATAAATCTGTAAGTAAAATCCGTTTGAAGTATGACGAAAGAACATCAATAATACCATGTAAATTAACAGATTCTATTGACAGATCTTAACGGTAGATGGAAAATTATCGTTTGGGCAAACTTTGGTGAGAACATATCGTTCGCCCTAAAAATTATTGTTTTTTGTATTCACCATGAAGTCCATTTTGAAAAATAAAGCCCTCTTGCTTTGATCTTGATTCTATATAATTTAGAATTTGTTGTTTATTTTATTTTTATATATTATGTCAAATATGTTTTCAACTATTAAAGATTCTAGGGGTGTTCAAAAGAACCGGTTGGAACCGGAATCGGAACCGACAGGTACCTTAGGTTTGGTTTCGGTTTCTATCCAGAACCAGTCATAAATGGGTAGGTTCCGGTTCCAAATTTTTGAAACCGTTACTGTACGGCTCCGGTTCCTATGGTTAGGAACTGGAACTGGAACCAAGAATCGGAATCGGAACCAGGAACCAGGAATCGAGACTAATATAAAATAAAATTAAAGATTAGGGGGGTTAATAAAACTTTTGTAGAAAAAGTAATGTGAATACATTTATATTTATATTTTATAACATTTAAAGTAAGTTGGTTTGACTCTTGAGAATATACCTTTACAAAGTAATAAAGTTTGTAATTTTGAATTTATAATTTGTAATTTTATTTTTGTTAACAAGTGTCATGTGGGGGGGTATTTGTAAGCTTTTAAGGGTTTTTTTGCCATTTTAAAAACTTTTGAGGGGTCATGAATTTTACAGGGTACCCAGAACCGAACCAGAACCGTTATTACAGGTTTTGGTTCTGGGTACCTAGGAACCAGAACTGTCGGTTCCGGTTCTCTCAAAAAGTGCAAGGTACCCGGAACCGAACACCCCTAAAAGATTGTGTTTGTTTTATTATTTTAAATAGTATTTTTGAAAAAATTGAGTTAAGTTGTTATTACGAGGATATGATTTAAAAATTACAAATGTCTTCTAGGTTTGTTAATTCAGCTAAACACCTCCACAATAAAAACATTGAAAATTAATAAAAACACCCCCATCCACCCAGTAAATGCCGACATCCGGCCACCACCATCGGAGGGTGGCCAGGGGGTGTTTTGTTAATTTTTAATGTTTTATTATAAGGGTGTTTAGTTAAATTAACAAACTTAGGGAATTCAAAAATTGTTGAATAGAATATGATTTGATTTTGAGAATAGAAAAACAAATATGTATTTTGGGTATAATAGAGAAATAAACATAGCCAAACATATCTCGATATCAATTTTTCAATTCTACTTTAAAATTAAAATATTTTCCAAATTTTAAATAAATAAAAAATGAATAAATCTATGTTAGGTTGCTATCTTAACCATAATAATGTTGTCGATAGATAAAATTAATTAGACAATGTTAAGTTCACAACCTTCTTTTACAATCCCCGGCGTGACAGTTCATCGCTTGTTAGCTCCCTATTTTACCAGTTAACCAATAACAAACTGTCACGTCGAGGGTTCGCTTGTGTTAGTTTTAGGTAAAGGTATCCTTCTATTGAGGGTCATGAATTTTTTTTTTTTAAATTTGTATGTAATTTTTTTTCTTTTTGTGACAATTTTGACTAAAAAAACAGAATAGGAATGTTATATGCAATTGGTTTTTATTTTGGTCTACCCTAACAGAAATTTTTGGACCCGCTACTATATATATATATATATATATATATATATATACCTTTGAAAAAAACTTAATTATATATAGTATATATATATATACTATCATATATATAGATATATATAGGTATATATATATGATAATATATATATCATATATATATCAGTATATAATATATATACCTTTGAAAACTTAATTAGGATAATTTCTACTCCAGAGCTCCAAAATATACAAAAATGCCTTAATTTATAAATACATAATTTATAATGATAGTAAACCGAGTTTAGTGTGGCCTTAACAAATTTAATTGCGGGTGTTTGTCTGAGCTTATGAAATTAGCTGATAAGCATTAATGAAAATATTATAAACAATTACGTGTTGACGATTAAAATACTTATAAGTGACAGATAAGTATGTTGACTGTGTGTGGCTAATAATGTGGCTTATAAGTATATTTATGACTATAAAATGACCTAAAACAGGCTACTTCTGCATTAAACAGGCCGGCTATAATAAGAATTTTTTAAAATTAAACAAGGATAATGTGAGTATATACTTGGTTCAAACTACTTATAAGCCATTTTCTTTGAGTAATTTATAAGCCAAAAAAAAAAGTACATACCACCCAACTTATTTTTTTTTTAGGCTATGATAGCCCTCAATTTATAAGCTAAAAAAATTATTATAAACATTGTAGCCTTAATTTTAGAGCTTATAAGCCTAGTATTGACCAGCACCTTATAAGCTTAGACAAACAACTCCCTTAAACCGGCCCGATCAAATTCGCATTATTCCAATTAGAACTGAAGCCGCCTACGGTTTGCTAGCCTCCAACTTGGATAGAGACAGAGAAGGCGAGAGATTAGAGCTTCGACAATTCTCAATAATTATCACTGTAAAAATTAACAATTTTTCTTTCAAGTATTCGCATGATCAGCATCGACCAACAATAATAATGTCGGAGCCATGACTGCAAGGTATCTTTTACTCCATCTTGATTTCCAATGATTGAACCTCGATCATTGTTCTCTTTGTTTTTTTCATCCACCATCATATGTGTTCTTCTGGCCCTGTTAATGTTACTATACTCAAACTGAAAGCAAATCGCAAATTGATGCTCTTAAGTTTCTGAATTTGAGCCCGAGAGTAGTTTTAGTTATTATTGTGATTCAATTGTTAATTCAAATTTAGAACACCAATCGGGGAAAAAGAGCTACGATTCGGGTGTTATTAATGATTCCGAGAAATGTATTTAGTGCCTTTTGGCCTGATAGGAGCTCACTAGGTTATACTAGACAATTAGTGATGTACTACATTTTCCTTTATTGCTTTGATTTTTATTTAATTTTGTGGTGGTGTTTTAAGCTGGGGACTAGGGATGCGACTTCACTTTGGAATCCTAGGATTCTTGTCATTGTAGGCCTGCGTTGAAGGATTAGTTTAACCCTTGATGTCTACTTATGCAGCATTTAATTTGTTAAGGCCTATATTGTTGATCATCATTTCATCTTACAGTTCTATCTACATTACACAATTAGAAGCTAGAAAGTGAACCTTATTTGCGTTCTCGTTGTTTTTTTTTCTTTTTGTCAGTAGTCATGGTCAGCAGGTAATAATGCTAGGCGTGCGACTTCTGCAAAATATACATATCAAATAATCCTGTCCAGCATTAGAAACCTGAGAACTGTCACGTCACTCCAGGGAGAATCGTTAGCAAGAAAGCTTGCTGATATGAGAAGAGAATAGCTGCCAAGGATAAGGAAGCAAAAGGAACAGCCGTGCTCTGACCATTTTGAAGCAGTAAGTGGTTATTAGGAGCATCTTACAATTTGATAAATTACAATAGATCTAACCATTTTCTTTTCAAAACGATGTGCGTTTATATTGAACATGCATCAAGTTAATTCACTTTGTAGGCTTGTCTATGGATGGAAAATCTTTGGTACTACTTTATGAATATGTGAGCGGGCAAAATATAGAAGTTTCATGTTGAGTTGAACAGTTTGGCTATTAGGTATAGTTGATTTAATCATGTTCTCAGACATTGTAAATCGTGGGCTAGTTATACCACCCAAATCAACATAGTTTTCAAGAGTAGGATAACAAAGAATGTGGTAAAAACAATTTGACATTGTTTGGGAAATAGCTTGCACAAGAGTGTGGTTAGAGAACTCCTTTGAATATATAATTGTACTAAAGTAAATAAGCCTTTATTTTTATTTTCTAAGCTTGACTGTTATTTTCTTTGATCTTCAACATCTGCCAGAAAGCCAAGCGTAGCTATCAGAAGGATGTAGCTAATCTTCAGTCCAGAGATTCTAATGCTGATGCTTTAGATGATCAAGAGAGTAAGTATCTATAGTTTCACCAAGATGTTTAATTATTAGCTCTAGTACCAAGACGAGATTTGACAATATAGACTATTGTGATTATGTTTCATACATGGCAAGGACTCATGTCTTGTTTTGTAATGAAAAGGTCTGGTGACGAGGTTGTGTGATCCTAGATACCATTTGGGTGCACTGTGCACAAAAGGCTACTTTTGATTGAACTGAGCTTTCTTGCAAATAACTTGACTGTTCAAATTTGATTCACTAAGCCACTTGCTCAGGCTTGTGTATTTAGTTATAGGCTCAGTTGCTTAACAAGTCAAGCTTGAGATACACATTTGTCTTCTGTTGAGGTTCAAGAATAGTTTAGTCTGATTTCATGTGATTCCAGTGGCAATATCCCATAAATCATCAAATCACAAAGAGCTTTAAAAGTAGAAAAGTTATCATAAGATTTTGTTTACTGATTTGCATTTGTAGGTTTGACTTTCACTAATAGCACAAACTTATTTGTGAGAAGCTTTTTCATTGACTAGCTTTAGGCTGGTGACTAAGCTAAAGTTTTTCCAGACAGATGATTAATTTAAGCCCGGTTGGCTTTTGAAAAATCTGAGCTTGAAAAGCCCAACAATCTACTGCCATTTCTCATTTACAATCCAGTGGTAATAATATATTTTACTCCTATGGTAGATTAATCATGTTAGATTACAATTACCTTATGTTTTTAGGTTGACTTCTATTACCGTATAATAGGCCTGCAAAGTCCTGCTTTGCTTCATTCTGTGCAGTCAACATTTTGTAAAAGAGTCAGGCCATGAATGAAGTGGACCTTGAATCTCTTTCAGGGCTGACATCAGTTTAATCAAGTAAAATTTGCTTCTGATTTAATTTTAAATCTTTCAATAAGTATGATTATATAAGTATTTTGCGGTTATTTTTTCTCTTGATCATCTTAGTTTCAAACTGATACAGCTCACTGATGACAGAATGGGATTATGATGGCACTTCGGGCTACTACTTCAATTCCAGCAACGGCCTTTACTATGACCCAAAATCGGGCTTTTACTATTCTGATGCTATAGGTATGGGGTCATATAATTGGACTTTTGACCTCTTAAAATTGAACTTTCTGATCTGGAGCTCTTTTTATTCTTTAAGATATCCTTTCAAATTATACATTGCATTTAAAATTTACTTGTAAATAAATGAAACAGCCAAGTGGGTGACCCAGGAAGAGGCATATGCCACAGCTCAGAGTTCTGTGGATTCCAAACATAAACCCAGGATGAAAGGTCCATTACCAGCATCAGGAGCAGGACCAATTAAGGAAAATAAAGATTCTGTGAAAAGTCAAACTGGTCCTGCACCAGGGCCTGTTGTTTCAGCTTCACTAAATCCATTGAGATCTGTCAAAGGTGCTCCATCATCAGTAACTGTTGGCAAGAGAAAGAGGGAAGATAATAAGCCAAAGCAGAAAGCAAAGCCCGTAAATGCAGAAGAAGCAGCGGCACTTAAAGCTAGAGAGGCTGCAAGGAAGAGAGTCGAAAAGAGAGAGAAACCATTGCTCGGTCTGTACCAGTCTCGTTGATCCAGAACTGCTCAAGAATCCTTCATTTCTCTCATTGACAAGGGGGGGCTTGCTTGGGTGTGGTATTATTCACTTCCTATGCTTGAGAGAAACCATTTCTCTTATCATGATTTTTCTTTCGCAAATGTAATCGAATAACTGTTTGTCTGATTGGCAACTCTCTTAAAAATGTAATTGTTGTTTCCGTCGGGTCAGGTGAAAGTAGTGCCCCTCTTACAGTTTGTACATTACAATCTAAAGAATACTAGAACAAGCCTTATAGTTCTGGAATCATTTCAATAGCCTTCTTTCTTTCTGAAGTGCATCTTGAACATGAAACTGAAGACTATTCTTCTATGGATTCATTTTGTTCTCAGAATTGCTTCATAGTGTCAAGGAGGCTTGTTTCTTTACACATTGAAATTAAACATTGTTAAGGCCTATGCTTATGGTAGCAGAGGCATCTCTCTTTGAGGCTTTTGAATGTGGACTGTGGAGTGTACATTGATTCTGTCAAACATTTAGAAACGGCCTTGCAATTTATGATGTCAAAATTTTCCCTAGGGATGTCAATATTCCGAGCTGGGCTTGATTTCCAAGGCCCAGACATGGCCTGGATATTGAAGCAGTGGACCTGGAGCCAGGTGTAGACTCGGGAGTTCTATTTCTCGGGTAGGGCAGAATTTTAACACCCCTAATTTTATAGTTTTGGTATTTCTTTTTATACAGTAAACAACTTTTCCCACCTAAATAATGTTTAATGGCGAGTTTCTCATCTGTAGACTTTTAAAATACCACTTCATTATCTAAATTTATATTTTGATTTCAGCATTGCAATCTCACACTATCACCATTCTCTTCCTCGATTATGAAAACTCCCCAAACCTTACTGCCGTCGACCCTGTTAATCTGATAGAATTGAGGTGGACCTGACTCTTTATCCAATGAGGGCTTGTTGAATTGGAGAATTACCCCCTCCCGATTATTATTCACCAAAACCCCTCAAACCTTACTCATGTCGACCCTGCTAGATAGAATTTGAGGTGGACCTAACTCCTAACCCAATAAGACCTTATTGAATGAGAGGATTACCCCATCTTATAAACCAGTAGGTTTAAGCGTGTTTAGTCGATGTAGAACTCCAACACTTCCCCTAATGGGACTCCAACAATCCCCCTCACAATCAAGCCCATATGTTGGGTTATGTCCATTGATAGAGGTAGTTGCTGGCTCTAACGCCTCATCCACTAGTCAAACACCCAGCTTAACTGGGTCTAACTCGAATACGGAATACCATGATAGAATTTGATGTGGGCTTGACTCCTCACTCAATTAAGCCTTGTTGAATGAGATGATTACTCCTTTTTATAAACTAGTAGGTTTGAGCATGCTTAGTCATGTGGAACTCTAACACAATCACTGGCAATCTAGCGATTACGGTTTGCATAGCTGTCCCTTCCAAGTCAAATTTTGATCAATCACAATCACTAAAATCCAATATTTTTCTACCAAAAGACTCATCGGTCTCCCCTTTCTAAAAGTCCCAATAACTTAGGCTGAGTTTGCTCTATGTTTATTGTCAGAATATAAATTTTGATAGTAAAATGGTATTTTAAAAATCTGTAA